GCCTACTTGGTAAATTCCAGGTCAGTGAGAGACCCTGTCTCAAAAAACACAGTGGACAATATCTGAAGGACAACACACAAGGCTGACTTCTGGGCGCCACACATACCTGCACGCACACACACATCCCAGAATCTTGGCATCTCTGGTATGTCCATTAACTCGACAGACAGGCAGCAGCGGAAATTAGGCTATAGAGGGAACAAAGCCACCCCCATGCAAGCCTTTCCTCTGTGACCTGTGGCCAGGCTAGGGGTAGGAGAGCAGGATGCTGGTCACTGGACACTTTTCCCTACCACTCAGATCTGATTTCTCTCCCAGGGATAGTACCCTTGTTGTCCTGTGGGAAAAATGAAACATTTGCCAAAGCTCTGTCTGGGTGTAACATCCCACCTTCCCCAGGATCCAACAGGAGCAATAGGTAAGGTGACTTCATACTGGGGAAGCCATTGGTTCACAGCCACATCATCCATTGTCTCCAGTCAGAAGGACGACATCAACACTGGACACTGTCTTGAATAAAGAAATTACTGAGGCTTTCAAATGTCTACTGCCCGTTTGGCTTTGGTGAAATGATGAAATCCATCTGCCCATGGCCTCAGAGTATTGACTAGTATCTTTAGTTTACAAGATGGCTTCAGAGTAGGTGTGTTTGTGTGGAAAAACAGACTCAGTGTTCCATCACCTAGGAAGGCAAAGCCTGGAATGGAGCCAATGGCAGGCATGCTAGATCATGCAGCTGCAGAATGTGTTTTAATCAGAGGACACAGCCTTTCAAAATGGTGGCTTGGTTAAGTAGGCCAGATTCCTCTCAGAAGAAAAGCTTGTCCTTTCTGGCTCCCAACTGTCACTAATCCCTTCTCCAACCCTAGCACAATGGTCAGCCTGCCCACTGGCCCGGGAAGGGGCCAGGCCAAAGGCTTAACACAAAAGCCCCTTACAAAGATGTCAGGCCGGATCTGCATCAGCGGGGGCACTCAGGTGAAAACACATGCTTCAGGGTGCTCCCCTCTCACATTGGAGTGTAAAAACAGACCAGTCCATTACATGGACTGTGAAATTTCTAGACAGGCATATAGTGTTACTGTCTGGAACTTTCCATGAACCTCCTCGAGTTACCATACATATTAATATGAACACCACATTTAAAGAAAGGAAAACATGTTGTGCCTGGTGATTGCTTTTAATTGAATTCATCTGGGAATTTTAAATTCAAAAAATTGAGCCCAACTTACGGCATATGAAGGTTTGAACGGTTGTGATTTTTGTTCTTTGGGATGGGGAATCTCTTTGAAGGACAGTTTCTGTAGTGTGAGGTGTTACGTTAGAGCCACCTGTAAAAAGCATTAAGTTGCAGAACTATGGAATGGGACAGGGGGACACTGCACAACTGCACCATCCCTTCAGAGGCAACCTGACACTCACAGCCCCTGCTCAGAAAAAGAAGCTGCACATTGCTGTCAAGACAGCCCTTGAGGGCTGGAGAGATGGCTCAGTGGTTAAGAACACACTTTGTTCTTGCAGAGGACTGGGGTTGGTTTCCAATTATCTACATGGTGGCTCATAACTGTAATTCCAGTTCCAAGGGATTTGACGCTCTCTCCCAGTGGGTGACACTCATACGTGTGGTGTATTTACACACATGCAGGCAAAACTAAATTGAATTAAAAGATACTGGTTGAGAGCCAGGTATGAGCACACCTTTTATCCAAGCACTTGGGAGGCAGAGGCAGAAGGATCACTTTGAGTTCAGTGTCAGCCAGGGCTACATAGTGAAACCTTATCTGAAAGAAAAGGAAGAAAGGAAGAAAGAAAGAAGAAAGAAGGAAGGAAGGGAAGGAAGGAAAGAAGGAGGGGGAGGGAGGAAAGGAGAGACAGAGACAGAGAGAGACAGAGAGAGAGAAAACCCACAGCAGGTCTCAGCAGGTAAAGGTGCTTGCCACCAATGCCTAATGACCGGAGTTCAATCGTACAACTTGCATAATGGAAAGAGAGAACTGATTTGCACACGCTGTTCTGTGACCTCCATGCACAGGGTACACACATTTACACATGTGCACACACACACTAAATGAATAAACAAATGTAAGAACGCCACCAGAACCTGGCTGAATGTTTACCCTGGTGAGCCAAGGTTGGATGGGTAGTTGAATGAAAAGTCCTGTGGGCAGTGGAAACTAGATGCCACTTCCTTGACACTTGATGTACCACCGTGACACTAGCCAGGTCCTGCAGTACAGTGAAGCAGACACACTGCCTCTGTCACATGCTGTCCCTTCAAGGGAGCTTGTGAAGTCTCCAGTCTGTGTTCTAACAGAGGGAGAAAGAGAAGCCAGGCTCTGGCTAGTGGAGCACCCCAACCTCAGATCTCCCTTCTGCCAATCAAAGCGACATTTATTCTCACAGAGAAACCCAGTTCCCTTGCCTTCCGGGTCCTAAGCAAAAACCAAGGGGGAAGTGTGATGAGCCGCCACCCTCTGGCTTGTCTATGTGGCTCCCCTCGAGTGCTCCGCCTCCTGGAGGCTATCTACCACACAAAGGGGCTCAGATTATGAGCCATGCAAGTGCCTTGTTTATGTCCCCTGTCACCCAATGAACAAATGCCAGGTGGGGTTTTCAACTGAGGACCCAAACCGGGCCACACAGATGCACACGACCAGGCACACCAAAGAAGGCTGGCGCAAGTCACAAGCACCCAGCTCAGGTATACGGCAGCTGTCCTCTGTCCCAGGGACACTCGGCATCTCCAAGGTCTTGTGTTCTTACCCACCCACGGCTCTTAGCATCACTATTCCCCTCATCAGTACTCAAGTCTGCTATCGGGTCCTTATTCCAGACTGGAGGAGATCAGTGGTGTGCACGGCTGTATTTTGATTAGGGATGCCCCGTGTAACATGTGCACATGGGCCTCTATAGTCCGAGCATCATCCTGAGGGCGTCCTGTGATGGAGGAAGGTCATTGGCTAATAAAGGAACTGCCCTGGCCCATTTTATTGGTTAGAGGATAGGTGGGAGGAGAAAACAGGACAGAACACTGGGAGGAAGAGGAAGTGAGGTCAGAGACTCGACAGCTCTCTCGGGAGCAGACGCCTGAGAGACGCCATGCCCTGCTCCCGGGATGAAGCTCGGACCCAGGATGGACTAGGCTAGAATCTCCCCGGTAAGCGCACCTTGGGGTGCTACACATAGATGATTAGGAATGGGCTAAATTAATATGTGAGAATTAGCCTAGAAGAGAATGGGCCAAGCAGTGATTAAAAGAATACAGTTTGTGTGTTGTTATTTCGGAGCATAAGCTAGCCATGTGGGCGGCCGGGTGTGGGGGACGCAGCCCTGCTGCCCCATACTACTACAGTCCTGGAGTCAAGATCAGTGAGAACTAAGGCATAAGGCCTTTCTGATTGACAGCACTGTGAATTCTGCTGCCTGCCATGCCCTTTCTACTCGGATGGCTTCCACCCAGTCTCTGTCCCCTACAAGCCTCAAGTACAGCCTTCACTCAGGAATTCTCTGTTTTCCTCTTAGAAAGGCTGCCCGTGGTGTGCCATGGCTGCCTGGTTTGAGTGTGCTCTCTCTCTCTCTCTTTCTCTCTCTCTCTCTCTGTCCTTCCTGCCCTCCCTTCCTTCCTCCCTCTCTCCCTCCCTCCCTTTCTGCTTTAAAGCTGGTCCTGGGCCCAGGACATGACGCAGGCAGCAAACCACTTGTCCCATAGGCATGAGGACCTGAGCTCTAGGTGACTGGTGTGATGGCCACACTTAGAATCCCAGCACCAGGAAGCCATGTAGGAATGGGAGGCTTGCCTACCAGCCTCGCTAGCCTAACAAGTGAGCTCTAGACCAGTGGGAGACCCTGGCTCACAGTAGGTGTCCTCTGGCTTCCACAAGTATGTATTATAAAGAAAGAAGAGCTGGCCTCCCTCCCTTCCGGGCTTTGTTAGCCCCACCTTTGTCTCACAGGTCCATCTCCCCATCCTTCCAGAACCAAGAGAAGGTACGAAGCATGGGCTGATAGGTAGGAAGCTGAGTTGCCCTGGTTCATAGAGTGGCGATAAGCCATGCTTTTGGCTCCATAGCCAGGCCCCCTCCAGCTCACGGCAGAACCCATTCCATATTCCACCAGTCTCCCTTGGAAGGTGGTAGCCACTGTCACACAGCCAACCAGCCTTCCACCCCGCCAGCCTATGGTAAATGTCTACCAACTCCCCACATTTGAGCACCATGCCAAAACAAGCGGAAAAGAAACAAAAAGAAAGTTCTGACTGCCAACCAAAACACCACCACCTTCCTGCTAGTGCACCAGTTCAACGGTGAGGTCAAGAGTGAGCACAAATCCTGGATGCCTTTGCCAGGGGTGTGGGAGGCATCTGGGCGAAGAGATGGACCTGCTGTCCCCTCAAGGAAGTGCATTGTCCCCAGTGACCACATCCACACGCAAGGAATTCTCTGGCCCCGAGGTCTGATCAGTGGTTCCTGTTGGGGTTTCCCTGACTTGAGTGCACATCATGTCCCTGCCAACTTTAGGACTTCATAATCCTACAAAATTCAGTACACCTTTGGGCTAAACCACAGCAAACTGCGACAACAGTTACAGGGACCAGAGACTGACACTAGGGACGACAGGCAGCCTTCTTAGCCTTTAGTCTACTGGCTCCAGGTGTGGCTGGAGCTGGAGTCATTAAGGCCTGGGCCATTCCATGGGCTCTGGGCATTTCACCAGCTGGGACACAAGGTCCGTCACCAAAGGATCTTATATATACCTCACGCTTGTTCCCCTTTTAAATTCGAGGCACAAATTATAACTGGATTCAATGGCCCTTGTTTCTGACCCAGCTATCTGAAGGTGTAGCATTTTCTCAGACTGCATGGCCTTGGCAGAGATGAAGGAATGGGGCCCAGCAGTGTCAAGGCTGAAGAGGAGTGGGGGAGTCTGCTCCCATCCCCCAGGGCCTGCAGTTGCAGATATGTATCACTCTGGGGGCATATAAGAGAGAGACAGCAACTTACATGGCTCCTCTTGCCTTCTTCATCCCCCACCGATGTAATGACTGTCTCAGAAAAGTCCATCTGTCCGGTCTGGTTGTTGGTTACCTACAGACAAGCACAGGTGCAGGAAAAGTGAAACAAGGAATTCTGGGAACAACATAAAGCCTTGTTTGCGTTCACTTTCTGGGGTGGGAGTCAACAGGAAGCCCACTCCCCATTCTGAGTTCTAATCACTGTACCGCCAGTGGGCAGAGCTCCTGGAGGTACCCACAATCCTGTGCAGAGGGAATAAAGTGATCACGGACAGCACAAGCGGGGTGGGGGTGGGGGTGCCTGCCACCTAGCAAGTACTCAACACCTGCTATTTTTATCACTCTTGGGGCTCATCACTTGGCACTCAGTGTCAAGAATTTCCCAGTCTGACCAGCGTGATGGCAGAGGCCTCTGATCAAAGCACTTGGGCTGTGGAGACAGAAGGGTCGGGAATTCAAGGTCAGCCTTAGCTAGGTGGTAAGTTGGGAACCAGACTGGGTGGCATGAGACTGTCTCAAGACAAAAACATAAAATCCAGTCCGTGCATCTAGCCAAATAAATGTCTCCATAAGAGGCGAGAAGGTGAAAGTCCTGGCCACGCCCCCAGCTCCTTCTGTCCGACTATGCAGCCATGAGATGGCCTGAAGCACAGAAGAAACCGGCTCCCTTTGCCAGTTTCTGGGCTGCCCTGATTCTGTCCTGAGGGCAGGTTCCTCAAACCGCACCCAGCAAGGAAACAGCCTCTCCAGCCTCCTCCAAGGCTGGGACTACAGATGGGTCTGGCCTAGGACCAGAAGAACTGTGTTCTTGGAGTCCTGGTTCAGCTGCCAGCAACCATCTGGTCATTTCTCTTCCTGATTCTGTCTTCTCATTTTGGCATCGTCTTTAAAGTTGGTGCCAGCTGTACTATCTCAAGTCTACAGCCAGAACCAAGCGATTGCGGCCCAGGATGCAGACACGGATCAGCTCTTACTTCCCAGGCAGCCGGGGCCGGGCTCCATCATCCTGCTCTACTTTGCTCTATTTTCCTCCCCCCAGGCCCTCAAGTCATCCAGACAGATCTCAAAGTCACTATATAGCCAAGGCTGGCCTTATACCCGCATCCACCTCCACTTCTCAATTGCTAGGAATACAGACATGAGTTACCATGCCTGGTGTATACCTGCTAATTTTTACCTAAAGATTTCCTCCCTGTGAAAAGGAATGATGTCTTCATGTCTTCTTCTTCTTGATAGTTTTTTGTACAAGTGTCATTAAAAAAACTTCTGTAGCTCTGTTGCAGGTCCTCTTGGGACTTTTATTATCCCACCATGCATTTCTTCATCTCTAGGATATATGCACTATTTTCTGAATGTATTTCACTGTCACTGTGCACCTCCCTCCTGAAGCGCTACACAGGACTCCTTGAGAGCCTGGGCTGCTAGCAACTTTCCCCTTTGTCAGTACCTGCAGATCACAGTGGCACATGCCTATAATCCCAGCCCTTGGAGAAGGCAAAGCAGGTGGATGTCTATGAGTTCAAGGTCTGCATAGTGAGGACCTAGCTTTGTTTTTTTTTTTTTTCTAGGATGGGGTCTCTCTCTGTTGTTCTTGGCTATCCTGTAACTGCCTCCACCTCTCAAGGGCTGGGATTAAAGAGGTACTCCACCATGCCCAGCAGAAGGGTCCCCTCCTTAGGTGTGTCACTAATGAGTGACTCCCACTGGATTAGTGAAGACCCATTTACCATAAGGTCTCTTCTTCACCCCTGACAGAGGCACACATGAATGAACGGAAACCTAAGAGGTGAGTTCTGCCTTCCCAGCCGTGAAGAAGCCTCAGCTTCATACACTGCCTGGGAAGAGCAGAAGCAGCTCAGAGCCTGAAGTGCACCTCTCCCTTGAGCAGCATCCTCCCTTCTGCTGGGTTCTAATCTCCTTCTACAGCTCTCAATTACATGTGTGTTTATATCACAGCTGTCGACAAGCCCCTTTCCCTCCAATGGGATGGCCCCGTAGGAAGGAGACATGGCTGCATTGCCGCCCTCACCTTGTGAATTTCTCGGTGCATATGGATGGTGTTATTGCCGACCCTGGTGTCTGTGTTGGTCTCGTTGTGATAGTTGGCAGGTAAACTTGACAGGTTCACCTCAGAGGATGTTCTTGCAGCTGCTTCTTCTGCCTCCATCTACAAATTGAATAAGTAAAATGGTTTCTTCCCGTTGTAACTGAGGGGGAAATAAAGGGGCACCTTCTCCTTTTCTCTTCTATAGGTTCAGAGATTGGTAACAGTGACAGGCCACTGAGTGGCCTTTAGACAAGAATTCCAAACGTTTTACATGGCCTTCAAGTCTCACGACCTTGGAAGGTAAAAGAGCTTGCTGAGCAAGCCTAAAGACTGAGTTTGATCCCTAGAACCCATGTTGGATGTGGTGACTCCAAACTGCAATCCCAGGACTCCTACAAGAGTATGGGCCAGGCGGTGGTGGCGCATACCTTTAATCCCAGCACTTGGGAGGCAGAGGCAGGCAGATCTCTGTGAGTTCTAGGCCAGCCTGGTCTACAAGAGCTAGTGCCAGGTCAGGTTCCAAAGCTACAGAGAAACCCTGTCTCGAAAAATCTAAAAAAAAAAAAAAAGTATGGGAGGCAGAGGCAGGAGAATCAGCCTGGAGCCCACAAAGCAGCAGCAAGGTGGAAGGAGAGAACTGATTTCTTTAAATGTGTTCTCTGATCCACTGCACATTTTCCATGGCGCGCGCGTGCGCGTGCACACACACACACACACACACACACACACACACACACGCATACATGCATGCTCTTTCCTCAGGTGGTGCCCTTTCCCCTTCTGGTTTTTAATCTGCATTCTACTGATCTTATTTACATTTGTGGCTTTGCATCATCCAAGTCAACCCTTTTTTTCTTTTAATATCACAACCTCCTAAGAGATGCATGCTAATATCCCCATTTTTCAAATAGGGAAACTGAGTCTCACAGAGTCGAGAAGAATTCCCAAGATGCCAGTGTAGGCTGGAGTTGAAATTTGAGCATATTACCTTGACCAGCCAGATCCTGTACCCTAACCTAGGGGTCACTTGCATTAAATTCCTATACAGTGAGCCAGCACCTCGGTCTCTTTCTGGCTACAAAAATGTGCTCAGCCTTTGGAAGCCTTAAGTGTTAATGTCTCCATTGAGGGAGTGACAGGCTGGGGAAGAAGTACCCCAACTCTCTGTCTTGTAAGACAAGTCTGCTTGTGGGCTGCAGCAGGATTAAATCCCAAGTGGCCAAGGCAGGGTCCTTTTCAAGGACCTTCACTGTTTTTATCCTTCCCTCTTTGTTTTTAATTTGCTGTCAATCCTGTTGCAGGGTCTGGTGTATGTGCTGAAACTGGAACTCAGACAAACTGAATCCTTGAGATAGGAGTTCCCTTCCCCATCCCATCTCTTGGTAGCCCTCGGTGGACCTTCTATGGGATCAGTAGACGGTTTCCTGGACCTACACCCGTCCTAATTCTCTGGAAACATTTATCGGTCCTTCTTTGATGTCGGGCTTCTGAGGTCACGCCCTCAAATCTTCTGTCTTGTGAGCCTCAGTGACACCTGTGTCACAAATAGCACATGTTTACATATTTACACCCAGCTTTTCCTTCCAGGTTTGTCAATCTCCAGCCCTGGTGAGTGGGCAGGTGACCATCCTCAGCTGCACAGCCACAAAGGCAGGCCAGGCCAAGGACTACAGAGCCTATCAGACAATGTGTCTAGAAACTTCAGATGCAAGACCCAGTGGGGGTCTTGGCTGAGGGGTTGAAAGATTCCCAATACTCCTATTTGGGCTGCTTCGATTCTGGAAAACAAATCCTCAACAAGTGTTTTCCTGACAAAGACAACCACTTTGTCTATCCCCACTCCTTCCTTCCTTCCTTCCTTCCTTCCTTCCTTCCTTCCTTCCCTTCCTCCCTCCCTCCATCTCTTTCCCCTCTTTTTGACAAGGTCTCATGTAGACTGGCCACAAACCTACCATGCACCTAAGGCTAGCTTTTAACACCCTTGTCTCTACCTGCTGAGTGCTTCCATGAGCCAAGGCACCCTGCTCTCATTCCCTATAATACTGCAACACCCTTTGCCCACTTCCCCTGGCCAGAAGGCCAAGCTGCTGAGGACCAAGCACGCTGAACTAGAAGAGATCTGCTGTAACAGTCTCGGGTGCCAGCCAAGTCACATTGTCGCGCTGACACTCCAAAGGGGGAACACTGCTGCATCATGGAACCGTCACTGCCTCCTTGCAATATTTTAGCCTTACTGGTGTGTATGGCCACACATCTGGCACATTCACAGCAACCCCCATAGGGAAGGAGTTGTTCATGATCCTGTCAGAGGCAAAGCCAACAAGCCTGGCAGAGGACATCGTATCAATCGGCAGATGGGAATGCTCCGATTAAAATTTAGGTCTTTCTGATTTCAAGTAGCATGCCTTTCCTAAGCAGTCCAAGAGTCCCTTTCCCCAGGGACTACATGTTTATGGGAAGAGTCTCACACAAACCAGTTTAAAGACGACTGTGGCCTTTCTCATGTGATGGTGCCTACCAGCAACTCAAGAATCTAAAGAAGAAAGGAAGGAGGTTTCAGGAAAAGAAGGCAGGGTTGAGTGGGTCCCAAAGGATGAGAGGATTTGGATAGAGAAGTTGAGAATGCGACAGAGTTCAGAAGGAAATCTGTAGCATCCTGAATAAGCCAGCAAGCCATGCTGTGAGCCGGAGCAGAGGGACCCTGCTGGGCACAGGAGAAAACACATCTAAAGAGCATCTCTAACGCAGATGCTGACCTGCTTTTCAACCAGAGACATTGAGGTCATTCAAAAGCTTAAATAAATATATACCTAGATCCCTTCCTAGATGTACCAAATTATCGTTTCTAAAGGCAGGACCCTACACATCAGTGAGTTTTTTGGATAACTAGGAAGATTCCCTTCTCATTCACCTGCCCTCAGTTAAGAACTCCTGCACCAGGCAACTGGGAGCTACATAGGTTCTATACCAGTTGGGAAATAATTTAGAGACTAGGGTAGGAAGAGACCGGAATCAAGTTTGGAAGAAGGCAAAGCCAAAGGCTTCCTGTTAAGTCTAGAAGGACCAAGATGAGCATCGAGTTAGACAACCAGCTGCCCACAGCATCATCACAGGGTAGCATGGGGGCGGGGCAGACAAGGTGAGCTCAAGCCCCAGCTTTACCCCTCCCCCCAAATAACCACATACTGTTGGGCAAGACTCCAGGCCCCTCTAAACCACAGATTGGATACGTGCTTGTTCAGAAGGTATGAGAATTAAGGAACTCCCCATCTGAATGCAGATATGGCACCTGTTGCGGGGTTAATGGCGACCTAAGTTGCTCCCCTAGCAGCATCCTGTAAGGAAGCAGTTGGTGAAAAAGCCAGCTTGAGAGAAGTGGGAGGGGCAGGCAGCCAACAGTGAGCATCTGAAAAGCTCCCTTTATAACAAAGTGGAGAAGAAAGAAAAGAAACCAGGACTAGAGACAGGATGGATGGGCAGGAAATAACATACTTTTAGAGAACGGGACCTGGCTTGTTTAGCAAAGAGTAAGGTTTAGCTGGAAACAAGAAAAGCAAGGTACTGGAGAGGGTGTGTCCTGAAAAAGACTGTCTTAATGTTTTCTAAATGCCACTGGAATTGGAATTGTACAGTTTGGCTTTCAGATAGCTGGCAAGTCACCAAATCGCCAGGCTACTGTTTTCTGAGCAGTCTCTCTCAAACCCTGTTCCCTTTCTGCCAGTGGCTGTATCAATGCAATGAGCTAAGGACTATTTAATGAAAACCATAAATGAAAAGTACAGTTTACCATGGAAGCTTCAGCCACAGCAGTTTCTGCCACCAGCAAGAGAAACTAAAGCCTGAAGCAATAGTTGCTTCACAGCTGAAGAATGTGAACGCGGTTAAAAATGGCATTCACAGCCCATCAAATGCACGTCTACTAAAAGAACACAGTAGGAAAATTGAACAGATAAATTCAGGCTTGGTATTGGGACTCTTCCTAGGACTCGGTGAGATGATAAGATCCCTCTAAAATACACCGGTTCCAGGCTGGGGAGTTGGCACATGGGCAAAGGCACTTGGCACCGAACCTGACGATCAGAGTTCAATCCCCAGGACCCACATGGTGGGAAAACAAAGCCAGTTCCCTAAATTGTTCTCTGACCTCCACATGTCTGCGGGGCACAGGCATTTACACACACACACACACACACACACACACACACACCAAAACAACAACAACAACAACAACAAATGAATACATATAAGAAAGCATTTCAAATATAGCAGTCACAGATGTGGCAACTCCGGCAGGGGAATGAAGTGACTTTATTTTTAACATCCACTTCTTAACCACGTGGAATCAAAAAAGAAGAGGAACATCTTAGATTGAGGCCACGGGAGGACTTGCTTTTTCTAAAGATAATCCTAGAAAATCAGCTACTTTGTCCCTTAAGATACATCAGCAGCTTGAGGCAGCTGGAAAAAATAAAGTGCCAGGAAGTTACTTGAAAGCAGATTCACGTTGCAACTATGTAAACTTCGACAGCCTGTGACTGGGTTCTCCATTGCTACCCCGCCCCGGAATAGCAGCTGAACAGCCACTGCCCTGTGTTTATGACATCTAAGGGGCTTTCTGGAACTTCCTTTAAAAAAAAAAAAAAAAAGCCGGGCTAGTGAGATGGCTCAGAGAGGGTAAAGGTGCTTGTAACCTAAGTTCCTAAATTCAATCTCTGGAACCCACACAACCACACATGCACTGTGGCACATAGGTATCTGTACATACATGCACACACACACAATCATGCATATATAAAATATTAATAAATAATAATAAAAGTTATTTTTAAAAAGCCAATAGTTACAATCTATTAAAAGAATACACTGTTTTAAGACTGATTTGAATACTTTACCCTTCTCTCTTTCTTCCCACCGAACTCCAGTGCTGGGGATCAAATTCAGAGCCTCAAGCACGTGAGACTCTACTGCTGAGCTACAGTCCCAGGCCACGACATTTTTTTTTTTTTTTATTTTTTTTGGTTTTTCGAGACAGGGTTTCTCTGTGGCTTTGGAGCCTGTCCTGGAACTAGCTCTGTAGACCAGGCTGGTCTCGAACTTCACAGAGATCCGCCTGCCTCTGCCTCTGCCTCCCGCCAGGCCATGACATTTTAAGGATGGGATCCACTGAGAGTCTATCAGGTGTTGGTAAGCTTCGCTGTTAGCTGCTATTCACGCTACTACTGTTTGTTCTCTTGTTCTTTTTTTCTTTTCTTTTTTTTTTTTTTTTTTTTTTTTTTTTGGTTTTGTAGCAGAGGGTCTCACTGAGTAGCCCAGGCTGGCTTTGGTCTCACTATATAACCTAAGCTGGCCTCAAACCCATGATCCTCCTGCATCAGCCTCCCAAGGACCTGACTACTAGTATGTACCACAAAGCCTGGCCACATTACCAGTATTACCACGCCAAAAAAAGATAGCCATTATTTTCTGAGCCTTAACAATCCCCCCATAATCCTTACAATGACCCCATGAGGAAGATACTGGTTTATATCTATCTGCTTTCCTTACACCAATATTTGACTAGGTAATTTGCTTTCTAGAATCTTCTCTCTGACCTAAAGGTGGGCATTTTCTCCACTTCAGACCCTGAGTCCCATTGCTAATCAATGGCAGTGCTGGGAACTGAAGAAGAGAAAGCTGGTCTCCACAATCTATGATTTTGCCATGAGAGTGCGCACCCCCACCCCTCCACCCCCCACCCCCCATCCTGTCTCCACAGCCCACAGGTCTCTCTAGGAAGATCACTGACTCTGGCTGATGCAATGATCAGTGTCTTTGGGGTTTCACAGCCAATCTGCACAACTCAAGCAGAGAGATATGTCAGGAGGGGGAGAGTGGAGCCATGATAAGAATCTACTGTGGATATTTCCCACGTGTCTGATGGGGTCACAAACCGCACTGATGACTACAGAGGCTAACTTAGCAGGTCTCATCGAGAGCTGAGACCAAAAAAGCCTGTTCCGAACCCTCTGAACTATGGTGGGCATTTCCCAGTGAGTGAACATGGAGGTGACCGGTCTGTGTTCCTGGGAATCAGGGTGTGGGAGGGAAAGTCCTACAGCCCAGGTAAGAACAGCAGAGTGGTCAAAGACTCCCCGCAATCTGCAGTTACAGAGTTAGGGGACAGTGGACTCCAGCTGGCCGCCCTCTGCCTTCAGTCACTTTTTGTACCAACTGTTCCATTAGCTCAGGAAACCCACAAATCTTGGGACCCAGGCCTGTCTGGTAGATATTCATATATGGCTGCTTATGTTACTGCCTCCCAACCCAGTGTTCCCTACAAAGCCCATCAGGTTGGCCAGGGGAATGGGAGGAAAAATATATCCAAACTACACAAGATTCAAGAGACGACAGCAACCTATTTTAGCAGACAAGGGCCAGCATTTAAGACTGCCGGAGGGGGTTACTATGAAAAGGACAGTGGAGAGCCCAACCCACTTGTCTGGTTCACTGAAATCGCTGGTTCCACTCCATTCCAGCCTGCCCTCAGGTGCCAAAGACAGCTAGCCAAACACTGACCAAGAAGGCTTAGGAAGCTTTCAACACGGTTGGAGGCCATCTTAGGGGTCAGAGTGAGGTGCCATCCAAAGTGCTGGCACCTGGAAGAGGATGAGAAACCGAAATCTGCCTCTCATCTGCCAGGTGAGGGGAATTGTATCTAACTCTCACCGGGAACTGAGGTTCAGGATGCTAAATGATTGACCAAATCCACCTATTGTTGAGGAGCAGAGAATCTGAAACTTGAACTCCAAAACACACTGCTTGTAGGTGAAATGGGGTTGCCTCTCACATCCTCGTCCCCTACCTTCTGACCATTCCTGCGGCGTGGACTTAGGCCTTACTCGAGTCTTCCTTTCCCACCCCTCAACAGACTTTTACCCTTTTTACCCTCCCGACTGGCATCCTGACTGGATTTTGGGGACGATATTACAGGCTCGACGCCCAAGGGACATGTTAGAACTTGGAGCTCCCTGCAGCTGCCCCAGCGTCTGCAAAGCCACTGCGCTGGGACACCAGAGTGGGTTCAACTTCAACTCAGCTCCAACTGGGGAAGAAAGCCAGCTGCATATCCAAAGCCATCTGCAACACGGTGGCTCCAGCTCCCCAGGAAGGATTCAGCTAAGACTCCCTTGGTGAACAGAGTTGGATCCAGACCTTTGGGCAGGCAGGTAGAACCAGCTGAGAGTAAAGATCACCCAGCGCTGCACGTCTGCTGGCAGGCCCTTTCCAGCTCTACACAAAGTCAGGTCTTTGGCCAGTGCTGCGACCATCGCTGGAAACATTGCCTCCCCAGGCCCACTCCCTACTTATCCTCCTACTTTACAAGCCGGGAGTCCTCGGGGTGCACCCACCTCCTCCACCGCGCTGCGCAGTTTGTGCTGCGTGTCTTCCATCAGCTCCTCCACCTCTCGGAACATCTCATTGAGCGTAGCTTCCTCCTGCGGGTAGCTGAGAGCCGGACCCGGCTCCACTGGAGTCCCCGTCGCCGTCGGGGCAGGAGCCGGGGCGGTGGGGACAGCCGCAGCCAGCAGCAGACACAGCAAAACGCCCCTGAGTCGCTGCATGTTTGTTCGGCGCTGGCCTCAGCCTGTGTGTCCCGGAACGCTATCAGAGACTGCAGGACCACCCCTCTGGCCCGCCCCGCCCCGCAGCTCTGCCCGCCCCCATACGAAGCGAGACCCAGCCCCCTCTCAGCCACAGCCCCTAGGGGCTGTGGGGCCCCGCAACCCGCTCCAGCCTGGATGCCTTCTACACCCCCAACTCTAGTACCTAGGGGAAGCTCTACTTGCCACGCTGATGGAAATCCAGCTCCCGAACCAAGGACCCTCTTTTCCCAGACCAGGGTGACCCTAGCTGGGCTACAGGTTCGAGTCCCGCCCCTAGTTCACAGTGCAACTCTACTGTTGAGACTCTTTGGTCCCCGACCCAGCCTCTCCCAGCCCCTCCTAGCCCCAAACAGAGCTCGGCAGCGCCCAAGTCAGCCTTCTCTCCACGCGATCCAAATACATGAAGTCCCCACCTCTATCTACTTAGGTGAGACCTAGCTGGGCTATCCCCACGACGGTGACCATCGAGCGCCCACCTCGAATAGACAAAACTGAGCCGTAGGTTGGTCACACCTCTGGGGTGCCACAGAGCAGCTGGAGAAGAATCAGTACCCCGCAAGGCGCGGATGCAGCAGCGCTGGTACCCAGTGAGCCTGCAACCTACTCACCCCCGCCCCCCTCCCCCGACACACACAACCCTCCACGCCCCTGGGGCGGTCGCACAGCCAATTGCGCTCTCTGCCTTTCGAAGTCCTGGGAGACCGGCTCTGCGGGGATTCAGCCTCTCCTTGGCGAAAGCCCAGGCTTCTGCCATCTCTGACAGCCTTGAGTTGCACCTTGCTGGCTTTAAGCCCACCTGTGCCTTGGATGCGGTTCTAAAGGACGGAATCCCAGCCCCTCAGCCATCACAGACTGGTCTAGACATCTCCAGCCGGGAAATTTCACTTTTGGCCCAGAGAATGGGTCAACAGAATGTCAGCAAGTCCCTAGAGGGCGACATAGCAGAGTGGCTAGGACCTACACCACCGGCCCAAGGCCCAGCAAACTAAAGTACAGTGTATAGGCTATAGTTGTATGTGCACGTCCTACTTAATATGCACGAAGCATGAAGAGGGATCCGGGTGCAGAAGTAGGCTGTGCCACTCTCTTAATGAGATTTCAGCCTTGACTATTGGCAGCTATCTTCTCAGTGCCTAGGGGAAAAAAGTTTTTTCAAAAACTTTTCTCCCACTTCTTTGCTTTTCTAGGCCTGATTCTATCGCCCCATGGTGTCCCTGACACCTCCCCTCGAGGCATCTCCTGACCTTTCCCCTTTCTTCCCTGTGCTGGCTAGTTTTTGTTTTTGTTTTTTCAATTTGACACAAACTAGAGCCACGCAGGAAAAGGAAATCTCTTTCTATTGGATTGGCCTGTGGATATATCAATGGGGCATTTTTTAACTGCTAGTTGATGTAGGAGGTCCCAGCCATTGTGGGTGATGCCAACCCTAGGCAGGTGGGCCTGGACTGTATAAGCAAAGCAGCTGAGCAAGCCAGAGGAGAAAAAGCCAGTAAACCACCTTCCTCCAGCCTCTCTGCTTTGGTTCCTGACTCCAGATTCAGGCCCTTCCTACCCGGGCTTCCTGTGATGATGGAGTACAAACCCTTTCCTCCTAAAGTTGCTTTCAGTCATGATCTCTATTACAGCAATAGAAAGCCAAAGGAGAACACTCCCCGTTTCTCTTCTGGGGTGGCTGGCCCCCTGTGCTCCCAGGCCACTGGCTGGCTGGAATCTTTTTGCCAGTCCCTCTCCCTTCTACCCACCAGGAACCAGGAGCTCCTTTGTATCTGCAGAGCCTCAGGCCTATCCGTTTGATCCCTGGAAAATGAAGGGGTTATATCAAGAGCTGCTGGCACACGGGTACAGCGGTGTGGTCACTGAGCAAGCATTCCGTTCCGAATGCAGGCATTAACTCACTGAATACTCCGCAGCCTTTGGAGGTTGGTGCTGCTGCTTTTGGTTGTTAAACACTGCTTTCTCATAAGGGGAAATCTCACTTCTGTGACCACCATTCTTTATAGAACTGTTTTGTAGATAAATAGTTTTGTTACTAACAAAACTATCACAAAAAGAAAAGAAACTACGCATGACTTAATTATAAGTTCTCAACCTGCCAGCTCTGAGCCAGTCTAGGAACAGCTCCAGGGTGGCAGCAGAGGCACTAAGCAAGCTGTAGTGATGGGCACCACCCCGTCCAGACATGAAAAGCTTGGACGAAGGCAAAGAAATCCAGTGGCTCTGGAGACTGGTAGAAGAGTCCCTATCTAGATGACTTTTGCGAGATGAGGGGCCTAGGGGCTGGAGCGGAGAGGGGACAGATCTGCACACACCTGTTATGTCTGGAGGAAGGAACTGTCTACAACTCCACAAGATCTATATCCACTAGGACATCAGGGGGCAGTAAGGGTTAGTTACTTGTCAGCTGCTGAATACTACGGCCAAAGGCAGCTTAAGAAAGGGGGTGGAACGGGGGGATGGGGCCCATGATGGCAGAGTAGAAGCAGCAGGAATAGGAAGCTGAGAATTCATAGCTTTAATTGCAAGCATGAAGCGGGGAGAGCGAACTGGAAGTAGGTGGGTATAAATATATCATCTCAAAGCCAGTCTCCAGTGACCTACTTCCTCCAACAAGTCGGCATCATCTAAATCACAGTATCATCAACTGGGGATCAAGTGTTCAAATACCCAAGCCTATGGGGGGGGGCATCTCTCATTCAAACCACCACAGGGGTGGTTGTTTAGTTTGTCTGTCTTCTTTCAGAGTGTTGGGAGCACTTCCTGGGATAATTAAATAACACTCTTAAGTTCTCATACTTTCTCCCTGAGAACCAACCGTTCTCATTTCACGAATGAAGAAGTGGCCCCAGCGTGGTTGTCACTCTCTAGAAACTTCCTAGAGAGTTAGATGCTGCAGCACTGCGGCTTTGTATCTCGCCATCCACCCACTGGAAACACGTGCCCAAGGGGGTGTCTGTAGGATGCAGCTCACCACAGCTCTATCTGTGCTGGTGAGCAGACAAAGACCACTTGCTGGCCCTTTTCAGGAAGAGAGTGGTTAAAATGGGGTTTTTATACAAAGCACAATGCTGTGTGGCAGGAAAAATAAGAAGTAACATTTATAGGTAGCAGTATTACTAAGGCTCAAAAACATTATGCAGAGTGGAAGAGGTAGTTTGCAGAATGAAATTTGTAGACTACTGGGTGTGCAGATTTCTAAAACACAGAATAATAGCAGATGTTATTTATGGACCCTCGAATATAGTAACAAATATGGGTATAATGCAGGCACGCACGGCCTGCTTCTGAGTGGGAGGCGGGGAAAGCACACAACAGGGTTTTTGCTTTTTGTAAAAAAATGTGTCTAATATAGTCTCACTATGTGACAAAGGTGCTTTAATTCCCAATTCTCCTGCTTTTGCCCTCCAAACAAAAGGATTGTAGGTGTGCACCACCACACTTGGCTCTCTCTCCATTCCAAGTAAATATAAGTTGGAACAAAATGGGTAGAGGTTCAGGTAGAGAAAATGTATTTGGTGGCTGTTTTCATAGCTCAAATGAAAGCCAAGTGAGATTACACGTAACACCTGTCCCTGCAGCCACCTTCAATCCATCCCAGAGTGGCCACCGGGACATGCCAAATACACAGAAGCCTAGGAAGCCACAGCGCAATGAAGAACAGGTAAATAGATAAGCAAGGGTTGAGGACAAGGAGATGCTGGCCTCTGAGTGGTCAAAGCTAAGCCTCCATCAAGTACTTGAAGGACCACCATCCTGCTTCACCTCACAGCGTTACGGGTGGGCATCAGGTTGTGATGACCCTGGTGACCTCATTTGACTAAACCAATGAAGGACAGCTCAGCCAAGCTGGACCCATCTCTTCCTCTCTTGAACTTGAGGCTGAAGAAACCACCCAAGTAAGGAAGAGGGGAACTCAAGTGAAGCTCACAAGCCTGAGGGAGAAGAGAGAGAGAGAGAGGAGAAGGAGACACTACCCTAACCGTTGGCTCTGGTTTCTGATGAATCTTCCTGGAGTACGGGAAGATTCTGCTCTTATATATTCTTCAAGTCCTTGGGGAGATTGTTCCAGGATCCCCACAGATACTCAGCCCATTAAAAAAAAAGTGTTGTATTTGCATATAACCTCTCCAATTTGGCATATACTTTATTCTCCTTTCTTCCTCCCCTTTCATTTATTTACTTACTTGAGACTTGGTCTCATGTAACCAAGGCTTCCAATTCACTAAGTGTCAAAAGGGGACCTGAAGTCCTTCATCCTCCTAGCTCCACCTCCCAAGTGCCTGGTTTACAAGTGTGAGCCACTCTGCCGGGCTTGCTTTCTTCCATTTTAGTGAAAAGATTCTCTTCAAGGTAGTCTAACTTCACAGGCATTGACGGGCCCCCCTCGAGATTTCTCGAGCCAAACAGGGACAAGCCATCAGGAGTGATTCGCTTCCCCTTTATAGTCAGCCTCTGCTTGGCAATGCCAGCCACACAGTTTCCCAGAGCCTTCCCAGAACCTGCCTGTAACATACAATTGTTCAGAAGAAACTTGTGCCAAGATTTTTCTGAATGGAAACTCCATCTGCCCTTGGAAAGAGTGTCCACATGGACTCAGGGTTTCCATGAGCAACAGCCACCGAATATCCAAAATATATGTTTCTTTTGCCAAATTTCCGTGGGCGGGTACAAAGGAGACCCAGAGGACCGTATTCCTGGCCACCACCCTTGTAGCACAGCACAGCAGGGAGGGCCTGGAGGCTGCTTGCCTTGTGCCTTTGGCTAGCAGGTGGATCAGTGTGCTCTGTGTATTCTTGCGTGTGTCTGAAATGGAGGCTGACTAACAGGCAGGAGGAGTCTTTTGGTAGAACTAGTTCACAAAAAGAAATGTGGTGGAGTGGGGTGGCAAATACTTGGACTATTATAAGATACAGTTTTCAAGCCAAGCAGCCTGCTTTGACCATAAGGAGCCGGCCTATTGAGTCCCATTAGAGAAGTAGGAGTTTGGGAGAGGCAATGGATTCTCCTTTGTGATTCCAGCTACCCCCTCCTGCCCTTCCCAGACAGTAGTACGCAAGTCTACCCTAATTGCTCAGGATCTCAGAGGTGACGTGCCAGTTCACAGACTATGGAGGAAGAAGATTTTTCACAGACTACAGGGAAGCTGTTGTCCATGCTGGGTGTGGCTACTTAGAGATCCCCACACGGCTGCAAGTAACCCCTCCCCCTGCTCTGTGAAGACACCCAGGGACCACACTGGTCCCCCAGGGTGAATTTTGGTGGAACCCTGCTTTAGTTTGTCATTAGGGCCTTACAAGGAGAGGACAGACATTGTTCAGATCTCCCGAGGGAGGGATATTCGAAGCCCCTACCATCCCAGCACTT